CCGAGGACAGCCAGCACCAAGCAAGCCCCGGGACCCTGGGGGCTGCCCCCCCAGCAGCATCAGGCAGAGGACTGCTCCTTCCTCGTCTTTCTGCAGCCGGCGCCCTGCAAGCCCAGCGGGGGTCCCTCCCTTCGGTTTGGTGCTTCTGCTGCCTTGTGCTTGGCCCAAGCGGTCATGGCCAGAGCTGGGCGCTTCTGTCCAAGCCAGTGAGTCTCCCTCTGGGTGGGGAGAGGCAGCTCCAGCACGGGGGCTTAAGCCTTCAGCACCCTCTCCAGCCACACCGTACGGTGCTGCTCACACAACCTGCTTAATCGGGTTCCTGGTCTGCTCAGTGCTCTGAATTACAAAGGAAGCAGTTGAGCCAGGTTCATGCAAAAAAAATTGTTTAGAGCATCCAGCTTGCTTGCTTGTTTAAGTATTTATTTCTTAGGCTGCCCCAGTCTGTATGACTCTGGGCTGCTTGCAGAATTTAACTGTAGAAAAAAGACTGAATATATGATCCAAAAGGACTCCCACAAGGGTCTCCCCTCCATCCTGACCCAGGCAGGTTTTAAGGGCTCACTTAAACAGGGCTGGGGTGGCCGCCATCTGAATCTCAGAGGGGTATTGCAGAGGGCAGGCACTGACATCCTGGGTCCCACCCCGTGACCTTGTGGTGGGAAGGCAGCTGGTCAAGGGTGTTGTGTGACCGCAGCCTTGGGGAGCCCCTGTGCTAGTTTCCCCCCAGAGGGTTTCCTGCATGCCTCAACAAGCCAGGGGAGGGCTCACTCTGATCTGTCCCCCTCCTTTCTTGCAGCAGCTCAAGCCCAGGGAGACGCCGGAGACGGTGACATCAAGGTCTCCGCTTTTCCACCGGATCTGAGAGAGCTCCTTCCCAGCATCAAGGTCTGGTCGGACTGGATGCTCAGCCACTCGGACACCTGGAATCCTCCACCCAGCGCGCTGGAGCTTCCCCAGTCGTACGTTGGCTCCTTGTGGAATTGGGCACCTCTCCCCCTCCGCAACTCTAGGCCGGTCCAGAAGAAAGGCGTCCTGGGGCCCCGCTGAATGGGCACCAGGGAGCAGCTGCTCCCTCTGACCTGGCCCATTTGAACCTTGCTGATGCTCCCCCTTTCTCATTCTGTTCACACACCCACACCCACTGTGTGTTTTGTGGGTAAATGGGGATGAACTCGATCTCTCTGAGCCCAGCATGGCGCCCCGTCCTCTCAGCTGAGATCCTGGAAGAGCGAGGTGATTCTTGGCACTCCACCCTCACTGGAGGAGGAAGGCTGTTCCCCCTTCTTGGGGTGGGTCGTCCTGGGAGAGCCTTGCCAGACTGCTTAGGGAAGGCTAACTGTTCTGCTGAACTCAGTTTTCCTTTGGGGAGCAAAGCCCCCTCCCCAGTTCCTTTTAGGCATGCCCTTGGTGCTCCCCCCCCCAGGGTGGTAGGGAAGGCTGGGGGGCTTCAGCGAGAAAGGGTCCTCCTCCTCCTCCTGAGCAGAGCAGGCAGGATATCTGTCCAGCCCCAGCTCCTTCCCCCTTTTCCCGCTGCCACTTTTGGCTTTTTTTCATTTTGGCCGAGGAAATGGAAATCTCACACAGGAAGTGCCGGGCCCCACTTTGGGGAGAAGGACGGGTCTGTTTTCTGTTTGTTGGCTG